TATACATATATATATATATATATATACACACACATACATACATATATATACACACACAGACACACACCCCAGGCATGCATACATACACACACACTTTTTCAATAACTGTGCATGAGAAGAGAAAAGGGAAATCTGGCATAAGCCAAGATGTCATCTTTAAAATGAGACAGACTGTCCTACTCGGTTCAATTGGGATGGGGCAGTAAAAAGAAACACGGAATAAATAGTATTCAGCCAAAAAATTTGAAAAAAAAGTTATAAATAGACTGTTACGTTAATAGCTCCATGATGACCTTTTCCACAGTTTTCAGGAGGTGTTTAATTGTATGCAATGTAGCATGATGAAAATATCACATTTCATCTTTATGTCTAGCTATAACCTCCATTGTTCTATTCCAAGACATGTCTAGCTATAATCTCCATTGCTCTATTCCAAGACATGTCTAGCTATAAACTCCATTGTCATGCTCTTCCTAGATTGTAAACTACACATTTCCCTTTTTAATGTTGTGATTACCATATATTTGATCCTTGTTGAAATAGAACAGCTCTCCTAAATTGCCTGAACTTTATAAAACCCAGATTGGTAATAAAAATGGAGATTAGCAGTACACAATATTCGGCATGTCTGGACAACAGGTGAAAATGTGATTACAAATATTTTACATCTCTTTAGTCTGGCAAATATCTCTTAGGTTGCCACTGCCACAGACACTATGAACCCAGCTCCTAAGGCCTTGTAGTTTAGGATTACAAAGTTAATGAAGAAAGCAAACCCATATGAATTTTCATCCATAATTTTATATAATACAGTATTTACTTCCTACTTGACAATCAACTAGTTTGCACACCTAAAAACAAACAAGCGAACCTACTATAATAACAGTTTTGTGAGCCAAAATAAATGATGACCCATGTTTTCTTGTGGACCTGTACTACTGCAACGAATTACCTCCCAACTTTCTGAGATTAGAAAATTGGGATTAGAAATGGCACTTTGTGCCATACTTTGGCACAAAGTATGTAGGCAAAATGACATATCCATGCCTCTACCCCATTACACGGATCTTAGAAGAATGAATGCTTAAAAAATGATTGGTTAAACCTACAAGTGTTTATTTTACCACCACTCTGTTTTCTTTTAAGGCCAATAGTAATGGGCTTTTGTTTGCTTCAAAATTGCTTCTCTCCCCACACATGTCTATGTGAATTCAAAAGCAGCTCAAGCAGGTCACCTGCAATGGACTTTAAACAATCTCAGAAGCGTCTTAAACGAATGTAAAAATGAAGCAACCGAAAGACACAAACAAGCCACAGACCTTTATGCTGGCTTTTTGGGGGGAAAAATGCAATAGTATAGAGGTTGGCTATATGGCAAGGCTTGACAAATTTGCTTTGAATCTAGGAGCCAGTACATGTGTAGCGGAATCGTAATTTTCCTACGAAGGTGCACACGACTTGTGTTTCCGTTAGTATGCGCGTGTTCGCAGTGGTGGAGACTTAACTTTTTTTCCTGGTATTTTAATTTAATTTTAACTTTATTTCTTTAAACTTTTTTTAACTTAACTTCACTACTATCACATGGGGGGGCTCACAATCCCCCTATGTGATAGCACATTGGAGATGACAGATTCTCTTTAAAGGTGACCTTAGGGGTCTGTTAGACCCCTAGTGCCACCTTTCCCCTTTAGTAGCTTTAGCTGGGGAATTACATCTTCCTGCTGAGGCAGCTGAATGTAAACACAGCAAGCTAATTCAAACTGCAATAGCCAATAGCAGGGCTGGGTATTGTAACTGCCCACTGCCTGTCGTCAATCAGCAGAGGAGGGACCTGAAGGAGAAAGTTCAGAGCGCAGAGTCACAGCAGTCTCTCCTCCCTGCTGGGCGCCGGCTGCAGCGGTCTGTGTCCCCCCGATCCCAGCTGTCTCTGCTGATTCAGGCGGGGAGAGCAGTGGGAATCTAAGGGGACACAGACTGCAGCATGCAGCGTGCTCTCAGTGGGGAGGAGCAGAGCTGATGTGGCAGTGAAGGTGGCACCTGGGGACAGTGAACAGGCTGACAAAAGCCCAGGCGCCAGGACGCAATATCTAGTCGCCATGGTGACTTGGGATTTGTCAGGCCCTGATATATGGTAGAGTGTAGTATAACAGTTTTGGTAGCTAAAAAGTTTATTTTTTACAGAGGTCTATACATCAGACAAAAAATAGGAATAACTGAAGAGGAAAGTGGCACAAAGTGATTTGCTTCCAAAAGAACAGTCCCTCCAAATGCAGACTATTCCAGGGATCACCACTAACCTCACAGAATATTACTGAGCCCAAGAAGTATTCCCATGACTTTTTGATATGTACACCAATGGAGAGTGAAGGCCTATAAAAACTTTCTGCAAGGGTACAGTTGAAGCTGTGCCCCCTAGAGCTATAATACAAATATATTTGTGTAATTGGGGTGAGGTAGAAAAGTTTTTCAAAATGTTCTCGTTTATTTTGCTGATAACGCGGAGATAATAGTAGATATTCTTTTACTTCCTTTTACTGTAATGTAATGGCAAGTTAAACAATATGCAGTGTGAATGTGCATGTCAAGTGAAAGAAAGATTGAGCGGAGATCAAATGAATCTTTGCCAATTAATCAGATCCCTGCAATTTTGGACAGCTGGAGCCATAACCATAGTTCTTTATGATAGAGTGCTCAAAAACTCATTGTGTCCTCCCTACAGAAAGCAGGAGGAATTTGCTGTGGAGACAATGAAAACCATCGACAAATAACAAACCAGCAATGGCTGCAACATAACAGTCAATCAAGCATTAAAATATATATATGCAGTCGGAATGTAAACAATGGAAACAGCATGCGAACAATACATAAACATTCCATTTATGTAAAGAGTTAAGTCGTAAGCCTGAAACCGTTCTGCAAACCCTTCCAATTCATCTGCGGTCTACCTGAAACCACAGCGCTAAGGATTTTAAAGCAGGACCCCTTTGATGTGTGCCAGGCTATTGTTCCCACTTTCTCCGTGTCTCTCTTCTTTTACTCTGTCTATTAACACTGCCACCCTTTCAAATGTATCAGTACTGAGGGTAGAAAATCTGTAAAAGGCACATACGATTTGTCTTTGAAAAGCAGTGATGCAATTGTTAGCTAGTAATCCATAAAACATCACACAGTGCTTTAGGACTCTGTAGCAAAACTCAAGAGGAAACAGAGAAACAAAAGGCAGTCTACCTCAAAGACACAATTCTCCTCTACAGCTTCACAAACTTACAGGAGAAAAAAAAAAATCCAATTAGGCAAATCACAAACGTACATTATGTCATAATAAGGACTGGATCTAGATGTATCCTAATCACTTGACAATTTAACACCTACAGGCTTTTCTAGACTTGGAAATGTATCTTCTGTGCTCAATTTCAATGCAAGAATCCAATTGGCAAGCAGATTCCTCATTTGTTTCCCAGTTTCATCCCATTTCTATTTTTAACAGAGAAGAAAAATGTTGTATGGAGTTCAACAGAACAGCGAGGGGGAAAATCTGGCTGCCTGGTGTGTCTATATACACACACACAAGCCATTTATTTTCCTGTCATGTGGGACTTACAGGCCCAGAATAGCACTTGTACAAAGTCCCATGAACTGACAGGCTAGGTGAAAGGGTTAATTAAAGGGACCGCCATGATTATCACCCCATGCACATTTCTTTGGGAATATTTAGTGGTGTCCAGAAAGTAACAACTCAATTACAGTAATCTCCTAGATTTGCCACACAATCAAAAATGATTCTGTGGACTTTTCTGTTATTACTACAGAGGACTTTTATTATTTGGGTCAGTTATATCATTTTCTTCAATGTCTGCATACCTGAAGATGTTAAGTTTTACCTATCCACTCAAAAACTACACAGTAAAGGACTATATGGAATTTGCTTAATGAAGAACTCCAGGCAAATATTTGATTTATTTATTACAGGTATTTATACAGCGCTGACTTATTAAACAGCACTTTACAAACTGTACATTTACATCAACCATCAGCTCCTCAAGGAGCTTACAATCTAAGGTCTGTCTCGCATACATACATACATACATACATACTAGGGCCGATTTAGGCAGGAGATAATTAGACATACCAGTCTTTGGAGTGTGGGTGGAAACACATGCAAGCACAGGGAAAACATGCAAACTCCATGCAGAAAATATCGTGCAGGGAAGAAGTGCTAACTACTACACCACCGTGCTCCCTAGCCAAAAAATTTACCCATTAGACATGAGTACACAGAGGGACATATCCAGAGCGGAGGGGGAGACAGGTGAACACCAGGAGGGCCGGGATCAGGTAAGTAAAACAACTTCATTCGAGTCCACCAGACAAAATGAGCACCTAACCCTTGCAGCGCAAGGGGATACGTATATTACTTGTCTGGAGTTCTTCCTTAAATGTTATTTTTTAAAAGTTTTTAAACTTGTGACATGGACTCTCAATTGCAACTCTGTATTTATGAAAAATCCTTACATTTTTTTTTTAATGGCAACTAGTTTAAAGTAGTATTAAAACTCGCAAACCTATTTTAAAAAACGTCACTTACAAACATCATGTTTCTGAACAGCTGCTCCCAAGTCTCTCAGCTTCCCTGAACTTCCTGTCCAGTACTAGATCACAAAAGGATAGTGCAGACTCCAGCAACTGTTCATCTACTAGCTTGGAGAAGGGAGCCTTGTCTTGATGTGTCTGTGTGTTTGTGGAGACACACGCAGCTTACTAGCACACACAAAGGTGACTGCATAGCACTCTGCTTGAGAAAGGAGTCACTGTAAAACAACCAGTCAGGACCAGTGCTCCGGGGATCCGCTGATTCTGCAGAAAAGTAAAACTTTTGCACATCAAGGAGCAGCATTCATTGTAAGTGATTTCATCAGCCTTTGAAATAGCTTACAATCCTTTTGACTTTATTATCACTTTAAGTACATGAATTTGATTTCATTCCAGCCTTGTAATCCCCTGTACAGCAGTACTTAGCCTTGAGTGCCAATCAGCACACTGTGTTTGCAGAAAATGATATGCTAATGTGCTGACAGGCTGACGTGAGCAGAGGGCAGAGTGATCAAAAGGATTACCAATTTAGTGTGCATTCAACAGGCTGTGCGCAAAGAGGTACCAGCTGTGTATATCTTAATTGCAACATATAAAGTAATATCATCCACCTGGCTATGTTGTCTAGCAAAGTTGTGTAAATCTCAGGACTGATCGCACAGAAATGCAAATCCTCCAGTAGTTAAAACAGCTCTCTTATATGTATTGCATCAGCTATAAAGAAATTGTGCTCAGGGAAAAAAAGTAGCTGCCACTGCTAGCAAATTATGGCCGACTTACCCTGTAGGCAGTTGCCTCCAGCGTTGTGATGTCAGCATTCTCCTCCCTAGTCAGAGTTTTCATCTTCATCCGGTTTTCTACCAGGTGCAACGTTTTCGGTCAGTTGATTGACCGGGCCAGCATGATGTAACTGCCACGCATGTGCACAGGAGTTACATCATTAGACTGCGCAGGACTGCTCTGAGCTGGGCTGCGCATGTGCATCTCAGTGCACACATATCCTGACAGGCAGATAGGCAGCAATTATGACTAAAGTCATAGCAGTAAAGTAGGAAAAACGTTATAACCTTGCGTGGATAGAGTCATCCATCTCAGCCATCTATGCTTCTGTGGGAGTGCTTCCCTCATTTCCTACGTGGCCAATAGGGAATTGCCAAATTCAGAAGGCTGAAAGCTGTAGAGAAAGGACTATCCAAACCCCCATACACTACTGTTTTATCTCTCTGCCTCCTTTATACACCCCAGCCCATCCCATGACACTTTGAGTGACTGCTTGCAATTTGCAGCAAGTTGGACTGATAAGACATATTACCATAAACAGCTCAAGCAATGAGAGTCCTAACTTTTTGGTCTCAAGTATACATCTTTATAGGTAAAAGCTATGCAATGTCACCAACGTATAGTTTACTCATACCGAATATTTAAACTGAATCAACAACTGCTCTGTGTGTTTGCAGATATA